GACTCATACAGTAGTTACAAACCTACTCGTATAATACGATCGGCAAATATGTAATTACTAACACAATCCTGTATTTTGTTTGGGAGGCATGTTTTGCTACAAGTATTAGCGTCAAAGGCTTGTATAAGTAAAGTTGTAACCTGTAAACAAAACATCAGAGAGATTACAAGGAAGAATTGCTAGGATATAATCAGTGGCGTAGTTGCCGTTATTTCCACGTTATCAGTGGTGGAGGTGGATACGGATAACTAGTGTGCGTGAGCGTGACCTAGTATGGATGGAAGTTTGAGGGAAAACTTTACAGCAAGCCTCAAATATATATTGACTTCATAATTTATTCAAGGGAAACTTGGTCGTTGGTTGGTTATATCGCATTGGGAAAAGGAGGGAAGTGTTTCATAGAATATCATTAAAAAATAATACGTTAAGTTAAAGATCGGTAAATACATCAAAGCTCATTTATACTTAAAATTATTAAAAAAAACTGTTAACCAGAAGTTTAAACTAACTGTTTCAGTTAACTAACTGACCGTTATTATTCATGGTACCGGTATTCTTATGGATGAAAAGAAAACTCGTGCAGTTTGCTTGTTTGTGAATAATGTTGACAAATTTAGCGAATGTATATTTCATCCCGTACTATTACTATTTTTTTAATGACACTCTTAAACCTCCCTGCAGCAGCAACCCTAGGTACTCGTTAAATGTAGTGATATTAAAATAGGGAGTATAATATGTCTTGTTTTTGGACATATTGTAGTAAATATCCAATTAGATAAATTCAAATTCACTTAGTCTGCAGGTTTGCTGCGGCGAGTGTATTAAAATATTTTTCGTGTTTTGATATGGCAGGCCTATCACCAGGGAACTTAGTACGTCAGAATCTTGTGAACTTCTAACTATATACTACAGTACTATATGGTTACTTGTTTCATTGAGCGAAGCTCACTTTCCCTCACTTTGTAACTTCTTTGTAAGAGCATCAGAATGTAATGGCTTGACCAATTGATATGAAATTTGGCCAACGAATACTGAGCACAATGTTTTGGTAAAAAATATTTGCGAATTTCCTTCTGAATTTTATTTTACGGGTCACGCAGTTTCGCTTGTTATTTTAATGTAAGTTGAAATAAAAATTATATTGGGTTTATGACATATGGGTTTATCTCGTTTCATTTAAATAAGATTAACATGCTAATTGTTTGTAACTGTTTTGTTTACATTTCAATGTTTACTTTCATCCAACGTTAAAGTTGGAATGTAACAGTTGATCAATGGAAGTAACAGTTTTGCTGTATTTGTTTTGAGCATGCCGCAAAGGCCACGTCGTAATATTGGTCGTCGCAAAAATAATGCAAATATTGTAAGAGAGTGGCGTCGTGAACAAGAAGAACCAGATGAAGCAGTGGCGGAAGAAGCTGATAATGATAGGCAGTTATAGCTAATCAATTCCAACATGAATTAGATGCACTAAAATTTTACACTTGCACTAACTGTCATCGCCAACAACTAAGCTTCAAACCAATCACCGATTTGTTCGCGTTGTAGTTCAAATGCAACTAAATTCACGGCGTTAAATAATATGGATGTGTCAAGTGTCCCGAACGAATTAACTGACCTGACGATTGTAGAACAAATGTTGATTGCACGAGTACATCCTGCTATGTCCATTTACAAAGTACAAGCAAATGGTCAGGATGGCCAGTTTCACTACAAAGGTTCAGTATGGACTATCAGATAAATTTGTCATTCTTTAGAACTTAAATAATATCGGGCAAACAAACGGTGAATCTGTTAAAAGGGAACATATTGTAGGGTATTAGCTGCTTTAGCCATTGACAATCTTTAAATAATGCTTCGCTCATTTATGCGTCTAAAGTATAACGGCAGACCACCCTAGTATTTATTTTGTGTCATTGTCCTACTTTATGTATTTTTTCAATAAACACTTTGTAAATCATCTAAAAATTACTTTGTGTTCTTTGAGGAAAGTTTAATTTCTAGTCTGTTGATCAACCTAAGTTTTGTGAGTATTAATATTTTAATTTACGCTCCATTATAATAATTTTGAAATAAAACTATTGCATAGAGTTTGGTCTGTCAATAAAACAATAGAATTTCTGATAACATCCCTTGGTAATGTACCGTAGAAACTACTGTTAGTTCGTGACTGTTTTGTATTGCCAATTGTATCCATATGGTTATGGTTCCCTCTTTTAACGTCTTACCGGAATCTATCAAATTTTACTTCGGCAGATAGTATATCAACATTTTGAATACAAAAGTTGTTGGTATTTATTAAAAACGTTCACCGAAAACTCTGTTTTTCAACAGTATTAGTTACAGTATCTAATAAAATCGTTTAACTATATGGAAGCTAAATTTGACCAATAATGTGAGTTTATTTTTTTTAAGTATTGTCATCGTCCCAATATAATTATGTTAATTGCCGGGTTCGCTTGGTTCGCGGCAACTAGACCTTCGGGAACTCGCGACGAATGCATTTTCACGGTGGTTAGATAACTAATATCACTTTTGCTCGATTTTTTGCACTTTGTTTGCGCAATCCTTAGTTTTATAGACAGAACAGAATACTTTAAAAATGTAAATATGAGAAGAACATATTTTTACACTGCTAAACAGGTCCCAGGTTTAAAGAGGTTAACCACTGCTAAATAGGTCGATTAGATCAAACTGCAGTAGGCCTTTAAAGCTAAGCATTTAATATCTGCCATTGTTTCTTTCTCATGTATTGATACTTTGCCCGTTTCCCTACATCACATATGTTCCAAAAAGCTTTAGTTATTGCAATGAATAAATAATAGATCTCAGAGTAGTGTAACTATTTTTATTATGTCCTTTGCAACGAGTCCAATTATTTTTTTTGTTTCAACTTTGTTGTAACTTGAGTTGGTCAGTCGCATATGTTAACAGCTACCAACCTTAACGAGTTCTTTTGTCATCTTATCAACTCTTGGCTGCCAATGATGAGCCTTCGCTACATAAATCCTTGAATAGCATTTTTAAAATGTTCACTCAAACTAGTATATAATAAACTTTGATATATACTCAAGCTCCTTGGTTACGTTTACCAATTCATTTCCATTTTCATCTGGTGGATACTATCGATTGCCCGACTCACTACACAATTCCCTACGTACATATTGACTGCGTACACTTCGGAATAATCCTATTAAACAATTGAAAACATCGCTCACCATTGTATTTTATATACAATTTTGTTTATATATTATTGAAATTGTATAATAAAACGTTAACTTTGGTTAAACAGTTTAAACATTAATAATTTTATTATATATCAACACCACTCTGCAGTTTCAAACCGAATCTTCTTACCGGTACTAATTTTTCACGTGATAGTAAAAAGTAAACCATCTCATAGATTTGAGGAGGATTCAATGATTCAAAGGTTGCAGAATGTGAGCATGTGTCATCTTTCCACGACGGACGCCCTACGAGTGTTCTCCCACAGGTGTTGTGATCTGATGTATGGTTGACACAACTCTTATCGGGAGCACCTTGGTACTTTAAACGATTATTAACCTATAGGAGAGAACCTATACCTATTACCCCTATTACCGTAGTTGGCTCGATAAATTTTCGATTCTGTGTGTGTGTGTGTGTGTGTGTGTGTGTGTGTAGATGTGTACAGAGCTAAGTACACACCCGTGGTTGAAATTTGGTATGTGGATACCTACTAATCCATAGCAAATACAGGGTTTTTCATTTTTAGAAATTTTGATTTTTAATGGTATTTTTTTCGTAGAGAAATCTATAAAATAACTGATTGATCGGATTTTCTAGAAACTGCTTGGACGATTTTGCTTACAATTTAGTATGTTAGAGCCCTTTTAGCTCTTAAAAAACTTTACAACCCCTATTACTGTAAACATTGCAATTCATAAGTTATGGCAGCTTATGCGCTTTTTGCAGAAATAACCATAAAATCACGACAAAATCGGATTTTTAGAAACACGGCTGAGCATAATTTAATCTTGTTCGAGGAGAGAATTAATTTGACGTGTTTATGAAAATATTTTAGTGAAACCCCAATCAGACGAGTAGAAAATTCGCTTCTGCTGGTTTGCTACGGCGGAGTTTTTATCACATACTCTACCCTCAGCAGAACGTATTTTCGATGGAACTTGGAACTTCGAACACACCAGAGTATTAAGACGCTTACGTCGTATGTTTAGTAATTAATCGAATTAATATTAGATCCTACGATATGATGAGTGGTTTTGTCCAAGGTGAACTTTGGACAACCTGCGAAAATTATTGAGATTATAATAACCAAGACGTTGTTGCTGGTCCTTACAGTATCGTGTAGCTTTTAGTGGAGAGAGTTCTCCAAAGGTGAATAAGTGCTCCTTGCCTGAGAAATCTATCCATATTTTCTAGATTGTGTGGTCCTAGAGCTTAAGATGGGTTGACACCCCTGGTCTGTTCACTTATTTATTACATAGCCGTAATGAATTACTTGGTGGTAAGCGGAAAGATTTCAACACGATCTTTTATAAGGTATGTAGTGGGTGACATCAATTTGAACTCTAAGCTAGCTGGTAACTAGAACATGTTTACGAGTTTTACAAAGCCGTTGATATTCTAGAGACAATAACCAATTACCGTTGTTAGTTAAACCTATAATGGGTAATAAACTGTTTATCAGATGCACTAAACAATAAAACGGCGTTTTTGCTTGACGTTCGATTTGTATGACAATACTGATTACCTCGCGTCACGGTGTGGAGTCACGACTTGCTCACTGTTAGAGTGACTGTAGCGGTGACAGAATAGTGTCAGTGTAGTGTTAGACACCGTCAGTGTCAGATGTGTCATGGATAGTCTGATCAAACACCTGATCTACAGTAAGACTGTACAGAACAACGCAAATCAGGTAGGTACTCAGCTGTTTAGTAGGTACTGTAGTAGTGGCAGAATATAGTGTCAGTGTAGTGTTAGACACCGTCAGTGTCAGATGTGTCATGGATAGTCTGATCAAACACCTGATCTACAGTAAGACTGTACAGAACAACGCAAATCAGGTAGGTACAGCTGTTTAGGTTAGGTGAAAGAGTAGTGTCAGTCAGTGTAGTGTTAGACGCCGTCAGTGTCAGATGTGTAGCCTACAGTAATAGATAGTCTGATCAAACAACTGATCCACAGTTAATAGGCCTAAGACTGTGCAAAACACATCAATAAATCAGGTAGGTGCTCTGCTGTTTAGGTGAGGTACTGTAGCGGTGGCAGAGTAGTGTCAGTGTCAGATGTGTCATGGATAGTCTGATCAAACAACTGATCTACAGTAATACTGTGCAAAACGCCGCAAATCAGGTTGGAACTCAGCTGTGGATGTTATCTAGGATCGATGTCGGAAGACAACAATCTTGCCCTCAAGAATCAAGTAAGAAACAATCTGCTCTTGATAGTTCTAATATTTAAAAAGTATGTATTTGATAAAACGTAAATATAGAATATCAATTCTGATTACCTAACTAACCAAAAATAACATGAATTAAAAAATGTGGGTTCAATCCGATTAAGATACGATTATGATCTTCAACTACCGGTACTCGTACATACTCTCTTACCGGCACATAGGCAATACATAATCCAAACTAAAATTTAAGATAATTCTGAACATTTTTTTTATTTATTGATTCAAAATATGTAAAATATATTCTGTAACTTCTCAGTTCTCATAACTACCAAAATAACTCCAGATTTCAGCACAATGCCTCTCTGCTCATCAGGTATCACTACTGTAGCGTTAGAATATTTTACGCCAAAGGAGCATGATTATTTACATTTTTTAATTACGTCATTGGGGCGTAATGCGAGTGTTTATTGACTGGAATACGTGGCGTTTTTTTCTCTCAGTAGGAATAAAAAAATACCCATTTATTGCGCGCGTTAAAATTTCTCTGGTCCTAACATTGTTTTTATAGGTAGCATGTATACATCCTTCATTTGGGGTTATTATTCTGCGGTAAATTCTCTAGAAATTATTTAAATAATTGAACTCTAGAAATCCTTAGAAAACCTACTCGATGTTTTCTAAATGAAATTTAATAATGCAAAATTTAATAATAATACAAAAAGTGTATATATTCATATAAAGAACATCCCTTAAAACCATACTTAGTACATTATTGTAATGGAATGAGATTGTTCACCCAAAGGCAAATTCGCTTGTGCTGACATGACTAATTTGTTTACACAGATCGTGTATTCATTCACCAGCTGTGTTTGGTCTTGCAATAACGACACACAGTACTTAGGCTATACAGGAGCATCTTCATGCAACGAATGCGTTTCATATGCAGGGAATAATACAAATGTTCAATGCACTTTTAACATTACCCAATTTTTTGCGTCTCTGTATCTGATAAGAACCTAAGTTTGGGAGTCGACAGCTACCAAGGAGTATCAAATCCTAATAATAATAATAATAATAATAATTATTATTATTATTATTATTATTAATATTGCCATTTTAGATGGGGACGCCACCTATGTGGGTATTTTAACTCATAAGGGGTACCCATAATATGAGTGAAGGAAGAGTGTAGAATGGAGTTGCCTTGTGTAGCTTTTTACTGAATAAGACCAGCTGTTTCATTAATCAGGACCATTTATTGAAAGCCCAAATGATCAAGGACAGCTGGGTCTAGTTTCGAACCCAGAATTCACAACTAACTGTTCTATTTGTGGCGGTTTGTTATAAAAACAATTTCCAATTGAAAGACGTATTGTCATAACTATGAGTTTTGTACACTGTTTGTTTGTTCTTGCTGTTTTTGACACTAATGTTTGTATTTTTAGTGAGTTAGTTTCTAAATGAACTTTATTAAATTGCTATATAACATTCTATTCATAAACTACTTTAGAACAGCATCGTTACTCGATCTTGATTGCCTGAACCATTTTGATCGTCAACTCCTACATCACAATAAATAAAGACTATGGATCTTTACCTAATTGACTGAAACTATCGGCGCGCGTTTACAGTTGTAGGTACATTTATTTGTATTACCCTTCAAGTTCTATACAATTCTCTAGAATATTTAAACTCTAGATATCCCTAGAAAACCCACTCGAGTTTTTCTTAACTACCTATGTAAATTATTAATAGAGAATGTAATAATAGTACAACAAGTTAATAGATTCGTAGAAAGAACATCCCTCAAAAAGAGGCTCCATTTTAAAAACTTCAATTCTATCATTAACCTAACAACAAGAATTTAAGACGGCATTTCCTACAATCAACATTTATTTACAAAGTTCATTTATAATTGAAACGAGTTTTAAACATTCAATTTATAAAAACGCAAATACTTCAGTCTAGTAGATCCATGATTAAATATCCACAAGTATTTGTCTTGACTTGACTTAAGGAACTTACTTTTTTTATTTATATAAATAACATGCGTAACAATTTGGTTGAGCAGTATCAATATTTCAAATACAAAAACAATCACCTTCGAAACAAGCTTTTAAATTTTTTTCTAGCGTTTGCCGTTTTTGAGAAAAAGTTGATTTACAAAAGTTACAACAAAAGCTTTTTGGGTAGAGTAAAAATTCTGAAACTACACAAATTAATTCATTATATATGTATCTATATTGTATTAAAGTTTGATAAAGTTCTGATGTTTAGTTTACTTTGTGCGAATTTTCAAAGTCATAAGATGGTTTTTGATCCTCTAAAAACAGGGAGTTTTTACCTTCCGACTGCCATAAAAAAATTCCTAAACAAGCTAAAAAATTGTTGTTTTCACAGGGATACGTAGAATTAAACAACGAAAATTTATATATACTACGTGTTTTTCTAAGTTAGTTGGTTACTTTTCTATAGAGCTCCAAACTCGAGTGTCTAAACTTTTTTCCCCGATAGTAGTTTCTACATTCGTTTCAGCGAAAAAAGTATGCTCGTAGATATATTTATTCGTGCTGTCACGTCAACGCTGCTTGAGAATATGTGCTTTCCTTATCCATCCTCATCAAGAAATTTAATTGTATCGCTACTATTATTAGGCCTAGTCTTGAATTATGATCGTTTACATCAATAGATTACTTCCAGTAGACCCGTGATCCTTGCACTGTAGCGCCACCTCGTAGCCAATCGAAGGACGCCTGACGCAACGATACGGCCCAAAGCCGACACTTTCTTGTACGTCATCGAAGTTTTACAGACAACCCTCCGCCGCTTCTACAGTTAACATCAGTGAAACTGTCAACTATGTATATTTTGATTTAAGAAGGGGTGTGTCTTGTTGGGTTTGTTTGTTTGAGGTTTTTGCCGGAGCAATCTCGACACCTAGAAGCATCGGTCTCTTAAACATGTGGATGGAATGTCTATTACTAGTACCGTATCCAATAACGGTTGAAAAATAGTGTCATTCGTGAAGAAATGCCTTAGTTTCCTCATCAAAATTTTCAAAAATGTAAAAAGATCAAACCAAATAACTTATTTAACAATTTATCACTCCACTTCAATTTAGTCAAAAAGTAGTAAAATGAATATGATTTAATATTTTCAATCTATAATGGGACTAACTAATCCCCTAACTAAAGTTTGTTTACACTCAATTTTTTTGTTATATTTTCATACAACTTGTGTTATAATAAAGGCCAACCAAAGTTGATCCACATCTTGGAGCCTGTAAACCAAAAAAGTATCTACGGCTATCCTAGAGCATTTTAACGAACTACGAATGAAATGCAAACTTATCATCTAGACTTGTGAGTTTAGATTCTTGGTAAAGAAGTGATCTCGTACAACTTTTGTCGCTTTTTTCTTGCTTTGCATGTCCTCAGCTGACTATGCTGATTATTCGGTTCTCATTTTCACCTTTGTGATAATGTGATGTTGTCCTACAGCTGATGTTGACCATGACCGCGTCCCTCGGATACCTGACCATCGGTCTCATCAGAGGCTGGTCCTCCACTGCCATGCCTTCCATCAAGCTTTACAGCCCACATCTCGTACCCTCTGACTATGTCGGCTCTTGGGTTTGTAAGTAAATCTGCTTAGTAAGTCCAACAAACTGCCAATACAATTAAATAGGTAATGTTTTGACTAGTATGAATAATAGGAGGTGGATGGGTTCAAGGCTTCCTATTAGTTATCGTACCGCATCTGAAAAGGAGGTTGACTTTAAATTGGTATATTTTTCATGTAACTATTAAAACAAAAACTATTTACTTAAGAACATTGAATACATGCTGATGTACATTGAGGTAATTAAACCCAAACCACTTATATTTGGATTGATCGGTATTGTGTATTGGCAATTAATAAACTTAAGCTGTTTCAAAATGCATTTCTTCAGTTACGACGTCAGAGAAAGTATTTAAAAACTGCCTTAATATGCACTTAAACTTTAATTTTGCCCAGGAGGAAACTTGTTCTCTTGAATACACTAGAAAAGTTTTTATAAGAAAAAAAAAGTACTATGCAGTTTTAATAGTAAAGGTATTCTCGTACTGTATAAGAAACAATAGGTTCACATTAACTGTTGGGTAATGTGTTGAGAACTGGTTGTACGTTCATATGATTAATACATCATACATTTACAAACATGGTGCTGTTCCCACAAACGTCGCTGGTCATTTTGGATTCGGAATATAATAAAAACATTGACATATTATAAATGTAACGTGGTATTGAAACTAATTTTCTTTCAGCTGCTATACCACCCCTTGGTGCGTTCATGGGAAGTCTTCTGACTGGGCCGTTCTTGCAGAAGTTTGGTCGTAAGAAGACAATGCTAATCGCTGCACCCATCTTCGCTGTGTCATGGGTGCTGATAGGAACAGCTGTCAACACGGCCATGCTGATAGTAGGTCGTCTACTGACTGGCATGTGTGCGGGCATCATAACTCCTGCAGCTCAAGTCTATGTGAGCATTAATAATCCTACTGTCCTAATAACATATTCTTAAATTTTTACTATGCTTAGTGAACGTAGTATCGACAGAATAATGCCATTGAATTCACACACTATATCACACTATTTGTTATAAGAAAAGTATTTATTTAGTAATTTCATACATTAACTAATGCACAGAGAAGTAAAATAAATTTATATTACTTCTCTGTGACTAATGTTCATTAGCGTGATAAATTCAAGTACATAGGCATATAAAGGAAAACATGCAGGGAAAACAAAAGTAAACAAGGGTAGGAGCGATGAGTCAGGTGATGACACAATAGTTCAAAAATGTAAAGTAGTGGGGGTAACCCTTCGACTGCTAAAACAGAATGACGATTTGTATAGCGGCTCCCGGTTCAACTGGTCTCCTAGATCATTCCCTTCACAAGAAGGGCTGATGTTCCCGGGTGGAATTAAGACAAACAAAAACCCTTTCAATATCCTATCTTCAATTTCAAACTATTAAAAGGGGTTAGAAATAATTTTATTTTTCTTCTTGAATTGTAAAATAGTAAGTGAATTTAAGTGGAAAGTCTTGTTCTGTTAGGATGTTTAGTTTTTAGTTTTATATACTTCAATAAACAGACATACAGACAGACACCACCTCAATTTTATAATATTAATATATGGAACGTCGTTTGATATGCCCGTTTCACTAAGGCTAGATTGATAAGCCCTTGACAGCTCTCTGTTAAGTATGTCAAGAGGTTCTGGGCTAGTACGCTTCCACTGTATGCTTATTTGGAGCCGTCATTACTTCACCTGCCGCACTCATTGAAGCGGCCGAATTGTCAGATACATGTGTGTAGTTTACGAACCAGAAGTGATATGTCTTGAAGCACCATTGTCAATTAATGAAAACACATAAATATAACGCAATATTTAGTGATAATTTAACTATGAATACTCGTACAATTCATAGTTAAGTTGTCACTAGATAACTCAACACACGTAATAATTTATTGTTGCAGGTCAGTGAGTGTGCTCACCCTGAGATCCGAGGTGTGCTGGGGTCTTTGCCTGCATTGTTCATGGCAACAGGTGTTCTCATATCGTATATCATCGGCACATGGCTGCCCTGGGACCACCTCGCTCTCGTCTCCGCCATATTCCCTACTGCAATGCTAGTGTTCCTGATTCCACTTCCAGAGTCACCCTGTTGGCTACGCTCTCGCGGGCGCAAAGAAGAAGCTGAAAGATCAGCCAATTGGCTGCGTCATCAAAAAGTAGTTAACGTAGAGCTATATACGATCCGTAATCCAGAGACTAACGGTGCAGAGACTCCCACAGCTATAGCAGAAGTAGATAGGAAACAAGAAATGACAACTGGTTCTGCAAAATCTATAGCGAAAGGGGCGTACTCTGCTGAAGCATTACTACGAAGACCGGTGATAATCCCGTTTGGGCTTGTTACGGGTGTTCTTATTTTTCAACAAGTCAGTGGAATAGACACAGTGTTATTTTACACGGTAGAAATATTCAATGCTAGTGGATCTTTTGTTAACGACTACCTCGCCACAATTTTAGTTGGGCTGGTACAGGTTTTAGCGACTTTAGCTTCTCTGTTTGTTATTGATAGTTATGGGCGGAAACCTTTGTTGATATTTTCTGGAGCGTTCATGTCTGTTGCTATGGCAGCCCTCGGATACTACTTTTACGCTCACGAACACGGGCTTCCTATAGCAAAGAGTCTAGGTCTCTTGCCCGTCATATCCCTCATGGTCTTTATTGCTGCATTCGCTCTAGGATATTGTAACGTACCTTTCTTGCTGATGGGCGAGCTTCTCCCAGTGGCACAGAGAAGTATCCTGAGCTCCGTCGCGAGTGCGATGAATCTCGGTTCCATGTTTCTGATCATAAAGTCCTATCACGATTTAAAGTACTGGATAGGGGACCATGGTGTGTTCTTTAGCTACGCTGTTTTGTGTATTGTGAGTTGTGTGTTTGTAACAATTTTGTTGCCAGAAACGAAGGGCAAGTCCTTGGAAGAAATCGAATGTTATTTTGAAGACAAATCACAAAAACTGAAAGAAAAGAAAGTCCAAAGGAAAAGTGAGACGTCGAATGAGCAGTAAAATTCATTTTCCTCAAATATTGTGTATGTAGTTACCCAGACTTGAGATATACTCCATATTAGTTCCTAATATTGTTATTATTAGTCAGTGTATATATCGTGTTTTTAAATTAAGGTCGATGTTATGTACAATGACAAAAGTTAATGTATATACATCAATCTATTATTTAACTAGTTTATTCATGTTATGCTTAAGATTACTTACCAGTAACAAGAAACTGTGATATTATATTAATTAAATTGTATGTACAAAAATAAATTTTAAATTATTTTACCTAAAATGTTTACACTATTTTGTCACCATGTAGTATAAAGTCCTTAAACTGTCAAATTTGTTCTCAGAAATCAAATAAAAAAATATAAAAAATACATTTGTCATTTTAAAAGCTGGAAAGTGTATGATGAGCCTGAATGTACTACGAAAACAGTAAACTGACGTCCGGATTGTGAATCCTCCGTCTTAAAAAAAACTTTAAAATTGCCTTAAGCTGGATAAACGAGTGGAAGCGAGTTGCATAATTTACCTAAGTGATGTAAACACGCTCTTGCGTAACGTGTAACGTACAAGATTTTACCTGACCCGACAATATACAGGACCTAAATATTAAATAGTTCGAATATACAGACGAACAATATTAATCATTATCCATTTCACTCATCTTCTAACAGTAACGTTCATTTACAAACGTGTTTACATCACTTAGGTAAACCTTCACCTGCGTGATGTAAAAACGCTCTTACTACACTTGTAAGGTAAATAGCTATTAATCCATGGTGGCATTGTTGTAAAAAATGGCCCCGTAACAGGTGTGCAAAAAACAACTGTGAACCGCTGGATGTCAAACCCTAGATGAAAAATCATCGATGTATATGTCGACGTCGGTGATCCATTGACTTTGAATATACACGGTGAGTCCTCTAAGCTGTCCTAAACATATTACAGCCGAACGGCTTCACATACAGAGATAATAATTCATACCCAAGGAACAACGTAAAAATATTTTAAACTTTTTTAAAACACAGGGTATTCGAGAAACTGGGGGTCATGGGTTCGAATCCCAGAGTTTTCACATTTAAACATATGCCATGCTATGCATTTTAAAGCCCTAGACTAGGCAAACAATTTAGTGAATACAATACTCCTTTATCTTTATCCGTTTCAAAATGGTGGCCATTTGTATGGAAAATATTGATATTTACAGAATACCCTGTATTTTGGAAATCACTAAACAAATTTTCGTTCTGTTTGAAAATTCTAATACTCGTGAGTTTAGCATTAACTTTATATGTGACATGTCAACATTTTAAAAACGAATTATTTTTTTAATGATTCTATTTTTTTTATTTTGGTAGCCTTGTAAATAAACATTTTTAAATTGCAACATATGTAAAATGGCGTATAATTTTGATGGCCTGGTAAAAACAAACAAATTTTAAATTTAAACCCGTGGATACAACTGGTTCTTATTTATAGTGACTGTGTTGATTTTTGCTCTGTGAATAATTATCTTTTTTACGTATTTTTGAGCTCGGACTCTCTTTAAAGTTATGACAAGTTTAATTCTTTATTTGTTCTTAATACTTGTTTCATAGTATCGCGGAAATAGTTAAATTAAACAATAAAACTTTGTTCAAACATAGGTCTAACCTACCTCCTCCTGTAACAACAGTGTCAACATCTCCAGGCCACGGCCTTTGAAGTGGCAACGTCGCAAGTGGTGTTGTAACAGCTGTTTTGTTTGGAAGCAGCTAATGGTATTTGTGTATTTACGAAAGATTGGTTACTGGACTATGACAACATTGAACCCTTTTAAAATGTACAGATATAGATTTTTAAATCATATTGTTTCGGTTTTCAATTCTGTATGGTTTATTTTCAATATTTTAATAAATTTATGTTCATAAATTTTAATTAAAATCAATAAAGTGGGAATTAATGAGCTGATGTCACCGGTCTGCCATGTTATCTTTTGGGACGTCTGTCACTAAACAACACCACTTGCGACGTTGCCAATTCTATCAGGCCGCGGCCTGTAGTTAAAGGCGGCCGTGCTCCAGCTCGCTGTAGTGCGGTGTGTGTGTCAGCTGGAGCGGTAACGCAAGTGGTTAGTGACGTCATAATGGTACCTGAAAAATGAAAAATCTCTCGTCTTCCAGTCAACAGTCGACACCTCCTCGGAGAGAAGGGGTCGTTGCTTGATAACATCATCCCCGGTAAACTCAATTTATTAGAAAAACAAACATAATTTCCTAAACTAGCACCATGCTAGCATTTCGAAAAAGCCCGGGTGAAATCATGTATTGGCTACATGGTAATTCAAAAAGCCAGCCTTTTTTAAAAAGCTAACTAGAAAAGTAGGAGTAAAGAAAGTAGAAGAAGTAAACTGCAGAAGAAGAAGAGAAGAAGAAGGAAGAACGAACGAAAGAATAGAACATCATACCCATACCCAACGTTGTTTACTTAAAAATACATTCTCTTTTTATACCACTAAAAGCATAGGAGAAAGGTGATTAATATTTTGTGCACATAAGATCTATTTTTATTAATACATCCTCATGACTAAGTTACGGAAGCAAAGAAGACGAAAAAGATATGGTTATAATGTCAACAGGAAGAGGTTAAGGAACAAAATAAGAAAAACCCCTGTCATATCATGGTGAGTTTATTAATAGTCATGCATATCCTAGGGGTACAGTTTCTTAACTGGGCTATGCTAATATCGATTGAAACTACTTACAGATTTGATTAGTAAACCTTCATCGATTTTTCCATTACTGTATCAGCCAAGTTTGGTTAGTTAGGTTAGGTTATGACAGTCTTAAGCAGGGTTGCCACCTTTGGTTAGGGAAAAATCGGGACATGGCCTCCCTCCCTCCCCCCGGATTATCATAGGCTTAAATACGGGCAGAAGGAACTGAAATCGGGACTGTCCCGGCAGAATCGGGACTGTCCCGGCAGAATCGGGACGGGTGGCAACCCTGGTCTTAAGTCCCCTGCAGACTGGGACAGTAGTGATATCAGCGGTTTAACGCATAGCGCCCCTCGCCATTATTGCCCCCTCCCCCCCACCTTATCGACCACTTTTGAAATAGGCGACATACGTAGTTTTGATCACCACAGTCCATACAGTAAACTCCCGGTTATCCGAGTCTCGGTTAACTGAGCCTCCGGGTTAACCGAGCCAGGCATAAAAAAATAATAACTAGGTCTTTATACCGAGACATCTACGGGGAGGTGGATGTTTATGTGTTTAACAAGCGTGGTCGAGTAGTGGAAGTCTCTACTGGCTGTTGTTAGGTCGAGTAGTAGACTTCTCTACTGTACTGTACTCTGTGCCTGTTGCTAGGCCGAGCCGTCGATCCGTAATGCACAAATAGTGAATACACAGATAATCAATAAATTCGATGAGAACTACAGTAGCACATGGCAACACTAAATAAACAGGCCGTAATGCTCCTTAGGCATGACGTCATTGTAGGCGACGGCAGTGACGTAATTTTTGCCGTATGCGATCAGCTGCTTGTTTTAATAGGTATTTTCTTGGAAAACAAAAATGAAACTAAAAAACAGCATCATAGGCGACGGCAAAGACGTAACTTTTGCTGTTTGCAATCAAATCTTTTCTTGGAAAACACAAATGTAAATAAAAAAAATTAGGCTACGTCATTTTATTGCCGTGGCCTATGACGTCGTCATGTCTGAGTAGCCTTACGGCCTGTTTATTTAGTGTTGCCTTGAGTAGCACCTGAGATCTTTACTGGCTGTTGCTAGGTCGAGCATTCTATGAATTAACTTATCGGTGCACTGGAAACCTGCGTATTTCCTTATCTACCTGGACCTGACACTTTTAATTTTAGTCTTGAGTCCTGAGTCTCAGATTAGTAGCTCAGAACTCGCGCTGAATGTGGTTGATGTTAGTTGTTCTCGTGCTGATCGTGGTTGTGTTTATTTTTGCCAAATTTTAATTGATTGTTTATCGTTATTGTTGACTTTTACTGTTACCGAATATTTATCGTTTGTTGTTGATTTTTATTTTTGCTGTGTGTGGGAAAGGGAAAAGAGTTGTAGTTTCTCTTGAAACCAAATTTAATGTGATAACACTAAATTAAACACTGCTTACTTAGCTCAGAAGACGATCAAAGTCTTTATCTAAAGAAATAATCTGTGTTCATACTTGCTTACAGGTATTAAATTGTGTCTATTATATGTTCTTTCTTCTAATATACCAGTTTTGTAAACTTTCTCTGGGTTTTACGTAATTTTTACCATAAAACTGTACTTAACCTCCCTATTATCTGAGTTTTCCCGTATCCGAGGTAGTCCCGGTGTAAATTACCTCGGATAATCGGGAGTCTACTGTATTACAATCATCAGCAATAATATTGCGTACTACTTTCATGCATGCTCAATCCCCCTCAGCTCCTGGACTATAATTGGTCGGCACTCATCCTCCTAAATTCTTTAGGATCTTCACTGGCAATTTCTCTGAAAATTGCTTGAAAGTGAAAAAAAAAACAACATCAAATAACACTTGTAATAATATACTTACACTTAGGTTACTGTTTACTCACTAGATGGTATGTGTACACATAAAAGATAGGAAGTGGTAATCGATTTTGATTGGACACTACAATCATCATCAGACCCAATAGGCGAATGGGTTTATTTGCCTAATTTATTCGTCTTGGGTCGGAGTATTATTGGATTGTCCAATCGAAATCAATCACCAATAACTATTTTTTATATATATTTGCCATCTTTTAAATAATGAGTACGGTATAAGTGCAAATATATTATTACAAGTGTTATTAGACATATTTTTTGTAACTTTCATGTAATTTAATAACACGTAGGATGCTGATGAAGAAGTTATTTAGGCCTAATTAAAATTTTGTTGAAGCTCCTTGATTACTATGACGTCCCGCCCAATCCTTGACCCAACAAGACCGACTACTTTTTACTACATCTTCCAATTCTTCACTCAAAAATGAATTAGGCCTACTTCATCACCATTTTCTTCAATATATACTGCATCTTCGTAACCTCGTCAAATTCATCCATTTTGGATCCGAAAAATACACCGTGATGTCACACTGGCCGCCACTAAAACAATATCGGTGGCAGCCAGTACTGTCCCCGTGTGTAGGGCTACTGTCGTGACAGTGCAGTGGCCGCCACTTGTGGACGCCAGTACTGGACGCTATTACTGTCACCGTCTGCAGGGGGCTTTATATAGGCCTAATTGATATAGTTAGCAACTGGCAATGGGCGAACTCTGTAGCCTATAGTGGCAAGGCATTTTTGGTGATTTCTGTGACTATAGTGTGGCGAAAAATTGTGTTCGTACCACGGACCGAAATTGTTTTGCAGCTCTCGATGGTTTCAAGTTCTCGACTTCGTCTTGAACTTATAAACTATCTTGAGCTGGCAAAACCTCATTTTCGGCCCTAGGTACGAGATATATACTAATACTATCAATTCAGTACTGTTGCAAATAATGATTCTTTTGCAGTCCACAAGTAAAACAAGCTTGGGTGGTAAAAGCTTCTGTCAAATCAAATTTAAAAAACATGGGATTAGCATATGATGCTAACATTATACCTTCGATATCCAGTAACAAGGTAAGCTATCGTAAATTTTATCCTTTACTCTAGTATTGATAGTGGGTTCCAAGTGTGGATAACTCAGGCCTGCTGTACTTAGTTTTTTTAATGAATTTTTACTTTCTCCCCCTATACCATAGTATATGGAGAAAGTATTGTTTTCGTCAAAATTTTCGAGTTTGAGTTTTGAGTGGATATATTCGTTTTGGGTCCCCCTGGACCCAAAAAAGTGGTTTTCGAAGTGATGTCTGTGTGTGTGTGTGTGTGTGTGTGTGTGTGTGTGTGTGTTTGTATTCACCGAATAGTGGCATCCTTCACAGGCACACGGCCGTACTGTGGCACCTTCAAAAATTGTGGCACCTTTTTCAGGGTGCCACAGCTAATTCGATCATTTTTGAGGTTTTCCAGCATTATTACGTCGTTTAAACATCACATGCCACAATTGAGTATTTTTGAACTCGTTGATGTGAGTTTAAGTAGCGCAGGTACACACCGAATTGTGGAACACGAAACCATACAGGTAGCTAGCGCGCCTCGCGCCGTCCGCCGGAACTATAACTTTCCTAATGCTACGTTGCCAATTCTCGCGCCAGCCTACACTCGAAATAGTGGCACCATGCCACAATTCAGTATATATCAACAGTGTGTGGACAGGATGCCACTTAATGAGTTGTAGAGCTTGAGCAGTGTGTAGAACAGTGTAACAAGCAACTAATAAACTAATAATACTATACTGCCACGTACTATAAAACAATTTAAGTACCATAAATAATATACTTTTGCTCCGAGTGGTGAACAATGTTTTACATTACAAATAATTTGTGTAGTAAATAATAATTTAAATTGATTTACCTAACCCGCCATGTTAAACTTCCCTATCCCAAGCGTGATGTATACAACTTCCTTACTTCTCGAGTGATGTAAAGTATCAAAAACTCACTCGGTGATGTAAAGAAACCCATTTAAATAACATTGAGTGCTTAATTTAAAAAAATATAACTCTATGGAGCCAACGATGTTCAACGCTAGAAATCAGCTGTGCGCTTGAATGTTATTATTATGCTTTAAAGTATTTTCCTACCTAACCTAGCTTTTGTTAGTAAAAGAACGTTACTGATAGAAGATGAGTGAAATGGATAGTGAAAAATATTGTACGTAAACCCATGTTTATTGTCGGGTCAGGTAAAATCTTGTACGTTACACGTTACGCAAGAGCGTGCTGTTTACATCACTTAGGTGAATTATGCAACTCGCTTCCGCTCGTTGCACAACATTCACCGTGCGTGAAGTAAAAACGCTCTTACTACACTTGTAATGTAAATAGCTATTACGCAACCATTAAAAAATTGATTTTTGTTTACAAACATAAATTGGTAACGTAGTTATTTTGTATCAATTGAATTTGTACACTGAAACGATAACAATGTTTGAGGTTAGAACGCTATATAAGTTGTCCTAGACTGCTTTTTTTATCTTACAAACTATTTCGTGCTGATACATCTATTTTTTTTTTAACATTTTAGTCATGTTGACAAAATATTTTGCAATTACATTTCTGAATCAGTCAGTAAAGGTAGATTTCGATGCATCATTGCTGAAAGTTATGTTTTGCTTCTCACTCTCAGAGTATTCCAAAGACATCTAATGTTTCAATCCATATTCAAATGTTATATGAGGTAAACATATAACCGAATCAATTAAAGTACTTAAATTAAAATACATATTATTATCAACACGCATAATCTAGTTCAGATTATAATATCATCTCACAATCATATTTGTAAAACCTACTGTGGTGTTTTAACCAGTCCCCACTAACAAAAGCATAAAATGAAAGGTCCTAAAGAGGTTAACATTGAGTCATAACAAAAGTAGTTTAAAAGTTGTAACCGTGATACTGTAAATAATTTGATATTGTTAGATATTATACGATCGTTTTACAATTTTGTCAATCTATCTGTTACTTTCATACAAATGTATTTTTATTATTCAATGTTTTGTTTTAACTGTCAAATGAATTTTGATTTCACAATTCCACACAGCTGGTTCAAACATATTAAATAATGCACGAATATTAGAACAGAGAGGGTAAGGATTATAAATTTAAAATAATGATGTTACTAGCCCGAATGTAAACATTTTTTTACATTACTTAAATGTAGCTGTCAAACCATATGTTAATGTAATTTAATTAGTATATGATTCTTTCAGTTACTTCATTTAGTTATGTTTATGATCTATTATACCGAGTCTGTTCTATTTTTGTGAAATGCTGTAATAATATTTTACTGGGAATAATTCGTATTAAAAGAAATCATTCATCATGGATATAGGAAATAATTAAGATTCTATAATCGTTGCCCTATCAACCTAGGCCCTTTTCCTGAGTGTTATGAGGTTTATGTTTTGATTTATTTTTGTGTAAACCGTAATATAACCCCCCTGCCACAGCAAATCTGTAGACTGAATTTCCATTTGCCTGATTATATAATTTCACTAAAATATGTTAGAAAATTACCCTATTTTCCATATTTATTTATATTTTCCTATTTTTCTATTTGTCGGTTTGGAACTATTGTAATAGCTTTATGTTTACAGTGCAAACCACGGATGTATGGATCTGTGGATGGATAGATGTATGGATGGATGTTTGTGACAAGCAAACGCGAAAAATACTAAACCGACAAGGTTGAAATTTGGTATGATAATAGATGACATCCCCGATTAATATATTCTTACCTCAAAAATTCTTTCAGTCTCCACCCCGGTGGCTCTGGCTCTGGACTTTCTCATGTTAACCTTATGGGTATTCATATTTAAAGAAATCAAAGAATTTTGTCAGCCGTTTCAACTGTACAAGTTGGTTCTATGATATTAAACAGCATTAAAAAGTTATAAGGCTTGCCAAACAGGGTGCAGCACTATTATGTTGTTTGTTTGCATTAATGACCTCAGCTAATTTGAACCAACTAGCAAAAAAAAGTTGTGGTACACAATGAGAACAGATTGTGTACTTTTTTCCATGGTTTAGGTGCAGTGGTAGAACATCAGGACTATAGTAGATGTGTGCTACACTATAGGATACCGTATAAATTAAAAGGCCAATTGTTTTTTTTAATAGTGTCCTCTCCCATAACTGCAATAAGCATTTATACTTATATGCCAACCCCGTACGAAGGACGGGTACTCTGCTAGTAACACAATAATACAAATACAAATACAGTATACTAATACAATAATACCATAGAATAAATAAACACAATTTATATTACTTCATCTATGATAATCTATATCCTATATAATTCCGTAAGTCAAATTTTTGTAAAGAAATTGTGAGTGACTGGATGGCCGTAGAAGGATGGGAGGGGTCTTATTTTAAAGGTCTTGACGTGAATTTTGAGGGAAAACTATTCATTTTTCTTAATTATGCACCAAAAGGTCCTTATGGAATAAAATAATTCACATTTAAATAACATGGGAATCTATGTCATATCTGCTTTGTTTACTTTAAAACATGTGGTTTAACTTTATTTAAAGCATATGGTAATACAGTATGTACTGTAAAATGTATACTAACCCTAAAGAGAGGTTTAAAATACTAATTGACTATATACAACCGTATTTCAATTGCACCATCTGGAATGCCACCACACAAATTAGTTTTAAAAGTTGGTTCAATAGTAATGCTCATTAGAAATATTAACCTAGGGTCTGGATTAGTTAATGGAGTACGATTGGTTGTGTTAGGTACCTATGTCAAAAAAAAGTGTAAAATTAGTAGTAATTACTTGAGAAGCAAAGTGAACAATTTTTCTGGCCAAAAATAAAACTAATAACTACAGATCGTAATATGCCATTTAAGTTTACAAGGGAAATTTTCACATAAGCCCAACATTTTACAATGAAATTGTGAGCGAACGGGAGGCCGTAAAAAGCTGGGAGAGGTCTTATGTTAAAGGTCTGGGCATGATAATTTGGGGGCATGAAAAGTCCTTTGGAATTTTAATTTTTAACAGAGCAGACATCAAAATGCTTTATACAGGTATGTAATAACTATTATACATATTATAATATACAAAATCTTAAACTACAATCAAGGTAGGGTAACCCATGAGACTAATAAATTGTACAAAATAATTACTAGAATATATATAGGGGCTATTGCCCCTTCAAGCCACTAGTAATGTAGGTTTCCGCAGTCTGTAGCCATAGGTTCGTCTGAACTGTCAATCAATTCTGAGAAATTCACAGTTGTAAATTCTTACTAGTCTTTTTCTAAGTTCACGTTGCACTCGCAATTAGTTCGGATATTTTATCTAGGAAAGCAGGTATGCCCTAAGTCATAGCATTTGTAGGTTAAGTATAATAATAACAAACATGCTTATCGTAGGTTTGTAGGCATACTTGTTCAAGAATATGCCGTGGTAGGTTTTGTTTATAAATTTTATTTTTTAATTCTTGTCTAATGACGATATTGATTTGTATTTGTGCGAAAATTTTAATTTATTTGTCAAGGGCATGTGCGGCCCTCTAGTCTATGTATGTTACATGAAGCATAACATGAAAAAGAATAAATTTAAGGAAGGTAAAAAACGGATCAGTTGCTGAAGGTCTAAATCTCGGAAGGTCTAATCAGACCTTCGACACACATTTTGCAGTTTGTATGTGGTTTGTACTTTATGCTGAGGATCCCATGAATCCTGTACAAAATAAAAAAATGTTTCATTCAAACTACAAGTTTATTACTTTTCCGAGAACCAGCCTTTATCAGGACTTCCGCTCCCACGCTAGTTGGCAACATCAACTGTGCTATATGAAAACAATAAATCTTGAGTAAATATACTGTAATGTTGAATTTTGAGGCTGTGGTGTTCCTTCGTAAACACATTCAATTATAATCTAGGAATATGTAAATTTATTGTCATACGTTACCTTTATTGATATTCGATTTGCTACAGTACTATTAAAACCTATAACATTTTCAATTCATGTGCGTTGTTTTTTAGAGTTGGGGAAAC